GATACTTGCTAAACTTTTGATATTATACATTTCAAGTCATCATCAAATGATAGTACTATTCTATACTGTGAACTTCACTAGGGATATTACAATATCTTCCTGCTCTTAATGCCACTGACCGCATCTATTGTTTGTTTTATTTTTTTTATTCATATATAATTAAATCTGTACCTATAGCATTTGACAATGACGGGTCTACATATAATTCATTATTTAAATACACTGACATTTTATATTGTCAGCTTTGTCTTTTCTTTGTTAGCAGAAACACACCTCATTTTAAAGAAGAACTCAATGTATTTTTTATTATTTTATTTTTCAAAAGAGTGTAATTATAATTTTTCTTACTGTACATAGTTTTAAGTGTTTTATCATAGTTTTAAGTGTTTTGTACATAGATTTTTTTTTTGTATATAGCTTGTTTAACTAATATTTTCTTTACTTTCTCTTTTTTATTATTTTTTTATTTTGGCCAGATGTAATATTTTAATTATGTTCTATTTTGTTATTCTAAAGGGACTTTGTCCCAGAATAAAGTTATTTACTATTAAAAAAAAAACTAAAGTAAAAAAAAATCTAGAGTAATAGAGATATTAGCGCTAAGCCGAACTTTTTTTTCTATTTCTCATTCCACCTATAGCAATTGATGGAAAACATCAAAAACAAGAAACAAAAACACTAGCGTAGAGAAAAAAACATTTAAATATTTGTGTTTTTCATAGTTTATGAAATTTCTAAACTCATCTTAAAATGTTACTAAGGGTTGTACTTTGTTAGTAATATATAGCTAACGTAACGTCCCATCCTTCTTGACAAATTACTCGAACCGTGACCTCGATGTAACTCATTTTAGAAGCGAGGCTAAAAATAGTTTACCTGCCTTCCTCCCAACCCAATGCGCGCACTAACCCGATAGTAGATAACCTCGTTCCACTCCAAACTAGGGAAAACTAGTTTTTCTTAAAGCAGTTCAGCAATGAAAAAAAATTATTAATTCTGAAGATAATCTTGTTTTTTCAATACTATATCAGAGCTTTTTTTTTTCCTACTCTTAACTTTAATTATTTATTCTTTAGAGATGGGTAAGTAGTCGACTGATGATTTATAAGGATGAAATAAAATTTTCAAGAATTACAGTCAAAATTTCTTTAATGGTTTTGGCGACGTTTCGACCCAACCAAGACAAAAAGTTCTTAGATCGAAACGTCGTCTGAACCATTAAAGAAATTTTTACTGAAATTCCTGAAAATTTTATTTCAACCGAAATTTCAGACAATTTTTTTTTCAACTTTAATTATTGATTACGTTACCACAAACGTACAGTTAACTAATTACGCGCTAAACGATATTTAACTCAAAAATATAAAATGCTTCAAATTATTACACAATGGTTTATTGTACCCAATTAGTTTTAAATAAAAAATGTGTTAGTACATTACTTTCAATACCACTGTAGATAAAAATGAAATGGAAAACGTGTAATCTGATATTAACCTGTTCTTTTCATTCATTTTTAAGAGAAATATAGACAATGATTTTGATTGCTGCAATTGATGTAAAGTTTTTCGGTAATGAAGCATCAAAACCGCTTTGCTACGTAAGGAAATCCAGGTTTTTATTTTAAGAAGACTTTAGCTAGACGCCATCAGCCAAAATTTTAAATAGTAAGGAAATCTGGTTTGCAATAGTGCTGATCGTTTAGAACGATAAATATCTGCACCAAAACATCAAATTTAGGCTATTTTTATTTATGTTTCGAATAATTTCGTTAATTTTCACTCAACTATTTTATGTACTTTTTGAGTAATTTCCAAATAAATCTACATTCGTTGTTACTTTTTTCCAGCTTCATTGCGGGAAAGTATGTTATATAAATAAATTTAAAGATCTTCAAGGAGGAGGCTTTAGCTAAGTTTCATTAAATCACTACAGTCGTTTTGGCGCTATAGTCCATAACGACACCAGTTTTTCGACCGCTACTTAAAAACAAAAGTCAGATAGGTAATGTCGGATTTTGAAGATCGACCTCGGATTGACTATTCTATTGATACCACATCTCAATGTAATCGGTTCAGTAGTCTTAAAGAAACACCGCAGATTATTTTTTGATTCTATATTTTAGTGGATTGATATTTTAACTAATTTGCTAACTATTTAAACAATGATATAATAATTGTGAATTGTAAATGTTCTTTATAAATTTTATTTAAAATAAGATGATTTTACTTGAAATGATAGGTAATATGTTAAATATGAATCATAAATTATACTTACATGTAATTTAAAACGATATGCCTAACCAAAATAATATAATTATGAGTGATTATTTGTTCAATCATATCAATAAAGACGATCTAAGTTTTTTTTTTCTTTTTTTTATGTTTTATTAAAGAGCTTTTATTTTTATTATTTTTTTTTTTTTTGAAATATAACAATCTGTAACGTGAACAATAATTATAGTGATGTATGAACACATCCACACCATATATACAGAAAATATAAAATTAACAAAAGTAAAATAATAATCAAAAGATCCTAAAGACAAGTAAATTAAAAAACATAAAAACACAGTCATACCTACAGTCATACAAGGTATTCAATTAGGCAAGGAAAACCAAGCCAGGCTTGTCCCTCCAACTATAGAAGCAAAAGCCGGACTCCAAGAGATCCCTGCCCTACTCTCTCAACCGCGTCACTGGTGCTAAAGCCAGTGAAGCTTGAGTGAGAGATAAAATAAAATTAAAAATGTTTTATATTATATTTAATTTTCAATTCTAACGTGCTAAGAACTATTAAAAGCACTACAAATTTCCCGATTATAATAAGAGCGTATTCAATATTTAAAACCCAATAATAACCATTAGTTGTTAAAAATACTAGTAAACAGCACAGCCTGTAATTTTTTCACTGGATTTCATATTACGTTTGGATTACTCATGGAATAAATACAATTGTAATTAACGTGAAAACAAATTAATGGAATTAAACAATTATTTTGTATGTACGTTGGATAACGCTAAACATTTAAAGTCGATTAAACGGAAATGATCTTTCCGTGGATCTTACTTGATAGAATCGTGAGAATTACTCTCTTTCTAATCTAGAAGTTTGTATATCGACCGGAACCGTACGAAGGTCGCCCGATATCTGATGGCAAGAGTTAACGGATCAAATGTATTCACAGCCTAAAACCTAGAGCCCGTAACGATAATTTAACCCTAGAGTACAAACTTATCTTGATTTTTACGACCACACTAAATAAAACAAGATGTGGCACAACGGTAAATATGACTCTTTGACATCAGGCCTTCAGTATCTTTTCAATACTGGCAAAGGATGGTCTTGACATAGTTTGGTGTTTAAATTTAAGTGTATGTTTCAGAACATTACTCACTCAGACTTTTACGAACATTTGTCAAATTGTTACTCGAAATTATAAAACAACTGGATGATGCTAACGATATTGAAGACTCTTGAGGCGGACTATCTGACAACTTATGAGGTAGTTTTCACAGAAAGTGAAGAGGAACACTTTGAAATTCCAGAAGCAGACCCAGTGACGAAAGTGACATTGAAATTTCTCGTCCTATAAATAGGGTAAAACGATTACCCTAATTTTCTTCAACTAGTAATAACTATTAGTCCAGAACAAAAATTGTTGGAGGGTAATAATAAATGTATTATTGTACCGAAAAAAACAGTCACTAAGAGGTAAAAATGGACATCGTTGGTGTCCTGCGTCACCGAAAAAAATAGACTGCTCGAACATGCAGAAAACTGCAGAAAATTGAAACACCAGGGGTAGAAGTCAGCAACGTTTCTAACCCAACTGAGGCATTCCCATTATTTTTTATTGAAATTAGGATGGATTCTATAGTGAAACACGCAAATTCAGGAATCCTAGTGCATCGTAGATAGTCTTAGAGTCCATGTGATTATCGACATTATGTGATGAAAACTTTGAAAGCATTTTTTAAAAATATTTATAACATCTATATTTAAAAAATGAGTCTGCCAGTCGGATCTTGTTACCTTTATAAATGGCGGCTGATTTAAAGAATATTAGACCTGTAACTTGAAGATCAAAACGGAAAATTCATTGTGAAAATGTGAGATTTTTTTTTATTTTTCAACTTGTGTATAAAGCCAGATTTTTTTTCTCGATATTTCTTTATTTTTTCATCTATAACTCTTAAATTGTACATAGAAAAGAAAAACTTACTGTCTAAGAAACTAAACAACGTTAACTTGTGCGTCGAATGAGTACCCTAACATAAATAATTTGGTTAAGTGGTACAATCAATAACCACGGTCAACGAACGCTACGATTCGTCAAAAACAGACAAATTACTATTAATGTTAGAGCGTTTCACTTCGGTGCACCATTAAAGAGTTATAGATGAAAAAACAAAAAAAAGATTTAAAAAATCTTGTTTTTTTTGGATGTTTAAGTTTATCTTTCGTGGGCCCCGTTAGCAATATTATTTTTTACATGTCTGAACCCATATATACAAATTAAAAAAATAAGAACTTTTCTAATCTTTTTCTCAATTAATTTTCGGTTTCGATCCTTACTGGTCTAATATTCTTTAAATCAGTCGTCATTTATCCGATTGGCAGATTCTCACTTTTTATTTTACATTTCATAAACATTAAAAAAAAATGCTTTCCAAATTTTCATCAAATAATGTCAATTTGTTTTCTCACGAGCTCTTGGACTAACAATGGTTTGTGTGATGAAGAAGTAAATATATATATACCTGTATTTTATCTTTATAAATTTTATGTATGCTTCTAATTTAATAAACAATCAGTTTTAACAAATCTTTTATTATTCCTTTGGAAAAACAAATGTTATTTTAATTCAAATTCGTAAAATTTACGAACATTTATGTTTAATGTAGGTTGAAGAACGTTTGTAGTAGAGGGTTAAAGTTTTTGTAGCTAGGCGAGCCACGTGCGATTCCCGTAAGATCTCCAGTCAATTGTCGTCGGCAACGGCTGGGGTGAGGTTGCCTCGTTGAGTCCGTGTTATGTCCCTACAAAAGCACGTTTTTCATCCGTGATTCATTATTTTTTTGCAGTAGTTGTTATAGTTGATTGATACAAATGGATGACGAAAAACTGATAGAACTTATTAAAGAGAATAGATTTTTGTATGACCCGTCACATCCCAAATATATGGATCCGAAGTACAAAGTAAAAGTTTGGCAATCGATAGGAAATAAACTGAAAATTTCCGGTAAGATCAGTCTTTTATTTTAATATATTCATCTTGGCTAGAATATGTGGTACTTATTTATGTAACTTTTTTTTTCTTATGTCTAAGTCGTTGGCCATCCGACATCTTGCCGCCCATTATAATTTAGTTTTTTTAATATATATATTTAAAAAGGTCCGTCAAGACAGGATACAATCTTATTTATGTAACTGTATACGTACAAATATATGTAATTATAGTATAGTATTATAATATGTTTAAAGTAAAGTTTTTCATTTTACATATTATACAACTGTTAATTTAATTGTACTACCCGTTGCTCAACATGTATTCGATGGTTCAAATGGTATTATTTGTTATCAACATAAAATAAACGGAACAAACCACATTTCGGAAAAAAAAATTAATTTCTTTAAAATCTATATCATATATCGCTCCTTATTGCCAATTTATATTATTATATAATTATAGTTATTCTTATAGCCAATTTGTAACCATAAGCGAGAAATAATTCTGTGAATAAGAAGTGTTACGGTCCGTTCCGATTTGTATACGTAAAATAAATTACGACAGTCACTATAAAACATTTTTATATAATAGAGAGAAATATCACATTTTAACAGTTTCAAAGAATTTTGTTTTTCAATTATATAAAAAAAAAATCCAAGAAACTTCTGAGTAATAAACTGCTGAACTTCTTAGAAAAGTTATTATTTATTTTTTTTTAAAAGTAAAAAAAGTTTCGTTAAATTAGATATAAATAATGAATATGCTTTGATTACAGATATAATTTCTATTGATTGCATTGATATATTTCTTTTTGTTTAAGTAATTAAGAATAACAATGACCATATATTTAGTTACTTTCGTAGAAATTATTCAAGGTCAATTATTTTACTTACAAATGGTGCCTCCAAGGATATATATATATATATATATAAGCACTTGTATTTTAACAATTTATTTAATATTTCACGACGTTTCGAGAAGTTTGCTCATGTTCAAGTTCTGAAAACTCAATTATTTCTTTCTGTTATCATATTCAATTGTCTTTTATCTGATTTACAACAATGTGAATCACTCACCATGTTCCATATTATTACTCATTTATTTCCATTTCATTTTATTATGCTTGTCAATTACGGTACTCGACACTACCTTCTCTGACTATTGTTTAATCTGGACTGCAGCATATTAACAGGTCTATAAACAATTGTACTAAAAAGAATTATGGAAAAAAGTTTCGATTTCAAAAGAACGGAAAAATAATCTGAATTTAAAATTTCATTCATTGAGATACGGATTATGAATAACATTTAAATTTCAATTTCAACTCCTCGTTTAACTTTTGCTCTGGTTCCATAATTTCTTCCAAAGAAAGAAGAATGTATAAGCTTGAAATAGAAAAACAGCATTTATTATATCGACTGAAAATAATCATCAGAACACAATATAAAGGCTTTAAATGTTTCTCAAACAACAAAAGCATAATGCATGGTTTCTTTTTGAAAATTCACAGCTTTAAAATCTGAAATAGTTTCGGTTGGAACGTCAGAGGTTTGAATTTTTTATGGCTTTTGATGAAGTTATATAGAACTCAAGTAAGAAAATCCACTACGTATTATAAATCTTGAACTTATGACAAAAGTATCCTCAATAAAGTGCTAAGCTTGGTATGCTATCAGTAAATTTATAAATAAAGAAATGTTATTAAAAAACGATATCGGTCACAGGTTGTTTTAAGCTTTTCGGGAAGGAATCTCACAAAATACCTTTTCAATGGAAAATTAGCTTTTCAACGTTCAGATTTTCGTTTTATAATACCCTAACCTTAGCTAAGAGATAAATAACATCCACTATAAAGTTTTGATTTCAGTTTTCCTGAAGGCAGGAGTAAGAAAAAAAAAAGAGAAACACACTTTATCTAGGTGCTACAATTGCCACAGCTTGCTTCACCGAAGATTTTCGCTTATTTATTTTCATTTTTCGGGTTAGAATGAGCATGTTTCACTTATTGAAATATCGCTTTACACATTTAGCGGTGTATTTGTTGAGAAATAGAAATAAAAATAGAAAACAAACTTTATTCTGGGACGAAGAGCCCTTAGAATAACAACAATGATAAAATACAGAAGAAAAAATACATATCTGACCAAAACCTAACTTAATAAAGATTCTAACAATATATACAAGGATTTAAATAATAGTATGTAAACAACTAAAAAATAAAATATAATCTTCTCAAGATTTCCAAATATTTATAGTCGTAAAGGGAAAAACAATAAACAAATAAATAGGAGCATTACATATATAGAAAGAAAAAAAGTAAAACCTTAGAAAAGAAAAAAATATCAAAAGTAAGTAAAGAAAAAGTATTGGCTCTTTATGTTAAGACTTTGAAAGATTTAAAAAAAAATATATATACGTTGCTTTAAGATATATTAATGAGAACATATGAGCAATGGGATCACAATATTGCATTATCGCGGCGTAAGATAAATAAAATAACAATAAGTAAATAAATACGATTGGAAAGCGATATTTTATGAGAAACCATTGTTCCGACAAAACGAAAAAAAAAAATATAAAATTATATATAAATTATTTATATATATTACTTAAGAGTTTTGAATGAATACTCGTATATAAAATCTTTTAAATCGAAAAACAAAACAAAAAAAAAACAATTTCTTCTTTTTTCTTTCATCACGATTCCATGTCACAAGTGATACGGAATGTTTTAAATTCATAAAAATAAAAAACTAATGTTAAGAGTGTAAAAAATAAAATATATCAGATTACACTGAATCTTGTAAATCGAGAAAAAAACCCAATAAAAACAAACAATTTCTTCTCTTTATCCTTTTTTCACCACAAAGTTTGAAGTAATACGGAATCTTTTCCAATTCATAAAGATAAAAAATAATTAAATATAAAAAATATATAAATAAAACCTAGTTACATATTAAATACTTAACCAGCGTCTGATTGTGGTCAATAGTGTGGTTCATTCATGTAAACATTACATACCATTACTATTTATTGAGAGTGTGTATTTATTCATACGAATTCCACCTATTTATAATATAGTCTGATATTGCATCTAATAATAAGTCGCTTATTTCCAAAGTAAGCCTTCATCGATTTTTACGGGAACTGAGAAATAAACCGATTCCCTTTTATCTCACTAATGATTAATCACTCAATGATTCCAACGGTGCATTATATATTTTTTTTAAACCTTATCCTTTTTTATGTCTATATAAAAAATGTATTTGCTGCTTTCAACTTATTGTTGACAATCAGCAAATGCGCTGGCGATACAGGAAATAATGACATGACAGACATGGAGTATCTAAATTTCAAAAGCAAGTGTTGTGAAAATAAGTTTATTTCCGTAACCGGTTTTGTTTTTTAAAGAATCTAATAAAACTTGCGTTAAATAATTCATCATAAGCTTTTTATCCATTTATTCAAATGAAAAAAATTTATTTTCCACTACTATTATAGCAAACAAAAAGTTAACTTTTTTACGGTACAATTTTTATAACTTTTCTCTCACGGATCATATAATACGCCATTTTTTTCTTTTCAATCCTAACCCCATTCAACCTTTTGTTGGTTCAAACATTGGGGATTCGAAGTTTCATTATTTGCGAAAGTAGCTCTAGTGAACCTTAATAGTTTTTTAATTTTTAATTATTGAAGAGAATATTGGTTGGGGTGACCAGTAAAAAAAAAAAGTAAAATAAATGAGTAAAATTATTTTTATTTTTGCCGACATTTCTGCCCAAATTCATCAGGGATAAGAAAAACCAAATAACAATAGGTATAAGAAATTATAAACATTAAAAAATTAAAAAGAAAAAATAGTATGAATGTGAAAGGTATAGCCTAAAAATGTAGGTAGAATAAATTTAAAGTAAAATAAAATAGATAAAATAAACCTAAAGTAAAATGAAGTAAGTAGAATAAATTTAAAGTAAAATAAAATAGATAAAATAAACTTAAAGTAAAATAAAGTAGGTAAATACACGTAAAGGAAATATAAAATAACGGTAACTTAGCTTCCGCTACTTTCTACCTCTAACTTTGTTATCGTTATTTTATATTTCTTTTAAGGTTATTCTACCTATTTCATTTTACTTTAAGTTTATTCTACGTACATTTTTTACATTACACCTTTCTCCTACATGTTATTTTTTCTTTCTATATATTCTATATATATATTTTTTTAATAGTTACTCATACCTATTGTCATTTTATTCTCTTTATCCTGATGAAGGCCTGAACTTTGAATTCAGTTGAAATATATTAGGTTTTTTTGTTTGTTTTTTTCTCTCTATCTATTCTCTTCGACATGAACAATAGTTTTCGTGGTTCCTGAAAATTTCTCAATGATTACCCAGCGTTCACTTTGGAAATAAACGACTCAACTACTATATATTTTATTTATGTAATGATTTTTGTTCCCTGTTGCAGGAGTACAATGCAAGACTCGATGGACAAACATTAGAGATCATTTTCGAAGGCATTTACTAAAGCGTAAAAAAATGCCGGAGTACGTTACTGAGTTTAGAAAGAAGTACAAATATGCCGATCGCCTGCAGTTCCTCGTGCCTTTTACGATTGACAGACATGCAGGATATAATTCCTCTCTGCAAGAAACATCAGCACATACAGAACTGATGGATGACATCAATGAAGCGATCCCCGATGAGCAATCTGATACTGAAACCAACCAGTCCCAGATCTCATCATCTGTACCTGCGAAGACTTTCCAAGGTTGCAGCAACGTGGGGCGATCACAAAGCACCTCCTCTCTTGCCGATACACCTTCGCTCCCTCCGGTGAAATATATCATCGATAAGGATGACCCTCAGAATATCTCACATGCTGCGTCCAATGATGATATAGATACTTTCCTAATGGGAATCGCATCTACCTTAAAAAGATTAAACCCCTACAACCAACACGTAGCCAAAGGACAGATTTTTAATATTGTACACGAAATGGAGGCCCAAGAATTCTTCAGTCAAGCACCGCACGGTTCTAACACATCTCCTCGACATTCTCTTGACAGTGACTCGAGGCGGTCAAATGAGCCTAGCTAACAACAGTACACACAATGCACACCATGACTGTTACTTATCAAGTTCCTATACGTAGCAAAAAAAAATATTATTCCATGAATAACACATTGATTTGTTTTAAGTTACATATATCTATGTACATACGTATATATATTTTTATTGCCTATTTTTTTTCATAGCCCTTATATTTTACCTAGTGGAAATCTTTCTATTTCTGGAGTATATTGTCATTATCTTTACTTTTTGTTTAATTGCAATAATTCGATTTTTATTAATACTTCTCTATTTTTTTAATATTTTGTCATTAGTTTATTTAATTAAACTACATCTTTAAATTGTTCCTTCCACTACCTTATTTTTATTCAGTTGCCTTGTTTATTATTTTTATTATTATTTTTGCAGGATGCAAAATTCCTTAGTCTATTTTTGTGTATAAATATATATATTCTTTGTTAAATAGCGAACAATGAAAAACTTGCATTTATAACGGTTATAAAATCCATATAAAAATTTATATGGTTATTATTTTTCTTGATAATCTATTTATGTATTATATGTAAATATTGTTTAAGACTGGATATAATTTATAATACGTTATAGTTAATAAAGGCCTGCTAAAGGATCTCAATATTGTCATTAATTGTAATTATAAAAGTAATTCTAAGTTAAAAATAATTGAGACAAAAATATCTTGTCAAAGTATGTTTTTTGTTCATAATGATATTGTTAATTGAGACTTTAATATAAGATTATTTTATAAGGCTTTATCACATTTTTCCTTGGTAATAACAGACAGCACCAAAATGTTGGTTCGTGAATTACTTTGTTTTTTAAAAGTAATTTATCTGATTAGGTTGTAGTGGAGTAAGTGCAATCAGGTTTATTTCTTTTTTCAATTTTAAAACTGTTTCTGTAAGATAACTATTAGGAATATGGAAATAAAACCTAGCACATAGTATTTAGGGTTATCTGGCTACAATGCCATGAAATTAGAATATTTTTATCATTTTATGTAAATGTAAAAATTTAATAATTTTTTTATTTTTGCCAACGTTTCAACCCAAACATGTGGGTCATCTTCAGGGCGTGGTTTGAGCACTGAAGTTGTTCATGTACTCAGTACATGTTGTCCATCCATGTACATGTTGTCAGTACATGAACAACCTCCGTGCTCAAACCACGCCCTGAAGATGACCCACATGTTTGGGTTGAAACGTTGGCAAAAAAAAAAAATAAATAAATAAATAAAAATTTTTTTAAAAAGACTGCGTCCTGAATATTTATCACCCATAAAAATTTAATATTACTCTCCAACGGTTGCACTTACCCCATGCATCCGTATAAGTTCTGCTTCACTTTAGGATCCTCCATAAGCGACAATATAAATGGTAGTGGGGCGGGTGTGTTATGGCTTGTTTTTCACTGATTCTGCCATTTTTAGAGATACGATCTTTTTCGTGAGCAAACGAGGGGATGACCGGAGAAATAGGAAAAATTTAAAAATCAGGTTTTTGTGTGATTTCTCGGTTTTATTTAGCTAAACTTAATCACTTAACTAAACTTAAAATTTACTTGGGGCAAGTGCAACCGGCAAAAATTACGGGGCAAGCATAGCCACGGCTTTCTTTTTTAAATTATTAACCCATTACCAAAATAAGGTATATTTCTGAAGACTACACATTAAACTTTATAAAAGTACACAGTTTGATTATCCTGAGTTGAAAGTCGAAAACACGAAAAAATGCCAAAATCTCATGGTCAAACATTCATTAAGTTTGAAAAAAAAAGAAAAAGAATAATACATACATACACACACACATATATATAAACTGGATTTTCTTGAGCTCTTTGGTGGATGCTTAGAGAAAATGTTCTAAAATTACAAATCAAGAGATTTTTTCTAAAAAAAAATAATTATTTCAAAGGACAAAAACCGGCTGTGACCATATTTACCTCATGGTGGCACCACTTCCCCCCACTTAAAATATTTTATGTTATTGTTATGTAAATCTTATTTATATATTTTTTTTTTATTCCTTGATTTATTATATTACCCTCTTTCATTATTATAGCTGATTATATTAGTTAGATTGTTATTCTGTATATTATATATTAAAATATTTTATTTAGTTAGTACTTTTAGTTAGTTACTTAATTATTGCAACCCACAGCAAATTGTCGTAAAAATAAAATGCAACAGTTATCACTTTTGTGTTGAAGGACAACCTACTACTAGTTCTGCCATTAATACTGTTACAAAAGTTGATATTTATTTACATCCCTAGGTATTATTTAGATAATCCTTACCTCTATCAGGATATTTTCTTTATATGTCAGGGTAATAATCTCAATTAGTTTGTATTTTTCTTTCGCTCAGTTAACATGGAGTGGGATGATAAAGTAAACCGAATAGCTGTGATCGCCTTACACACAGTTGGAAAATGTAGGTCAGAAATTTTCAACACTGAAACCTTTGGGTATCAGCCGCATGTTCGAGAACTATAAATAAATATAATGAGACTTTATCTGTATGTGACCGACCGTCCCCGAACTGTGAGAACGGCAAATGCAGTGAGAGCAGTGACTGCTTGAATCAGAAGAAATCCCATTCAAAAACAACAAATCGTGTCTCGGGAAATGGGAATCTCTATCAGATCAATGGCTCGCATGGTAAAAAGTGACATTAGGATGGGTGAATTTCGAAAGATGGCAAAGGCTAACCACTTCCCTAAAAAATAACTAGAGTGGATAGATGCTAAGTGCTCCTTGGCCACCAATGGTCTTCGTCGAAAGATTTCGTTTAGTGATCAATCAATTTTTACAATTGAAGAAAAATTCAATCACCAAAATGATCGTGTGCGTACGCACACAGCTCTAAAGAAGCTCAGGAAGTCATTGGAAGAGTGGAAAGAGGTCATTACCCTTCCTCAGTGACGATTTGATGGAGAGTTTGCTATGGTGGCACCACAAAGTTGCATTTTTGTGAAAAAGGAGTTAAAACAGCCATTATAAACTATCAGAGCGATATTTTGGAACCTGTTGTCAAGCCTCTAAATGATACTCTGTTTGCTGGAAGTCATTGGGTTTTCCAGCAGGATTCCGCTCCAGCACACAAGGTCAGGTCAACTCAGCAGTGGCTGTAAAAAAACATTCCAGAGTTTATCTCTGCTTCGGATTGGCCCTCAGGAATCCCTGATCTCAACCCACTAGATCATCGGCTTTGGTCCGAACTGGAGAGGATGGCATGCCACAGAGCACTCCCTAACTTGGAAAGCCTCAAGCAATCTCTGTTCCTAGCAATTGAAGTGCTGCATTCTGCTATTGATGACTGGCCACGGAGATTAAATGCCTGTATCAAGGCAAAAGAGAGAGATTTTGAGTAATTTCTTTTTTTTTTACTCTCTATAGACATACATTTTAATTTTTAATAAAGTTTTGAAAAAATAAATTTGTCTATTGAAATCTGTCTATATTTTCTTTTAACAATATTTATGACAGGACTACGTATATAGAAAGAATTAAAATATGATATCCTGTAATTTAATTTTTTTTATACATTATTAGCAGTTTCGGTCAGTAGTTCTTCATTAGTCATTTAATAACTAACTAAAAAAAATATCTAATTACAATAAATAACTAAAATTAGAGTAAAAAAACTATTTAAAACAAAACACATAATAGCAAAATAAATAAACTATAATAATATAAATTAAAAAACAATTAAACTAAATTAAAAAAGTGACGCGGTTGAGAGAGTAGTGTAGGGATCTCTTGGAGTCCTGCTTTTTCCTCTATCGTTGGAGGGCCAAGCATGGATTGCGGTTCCCTGCCTGATCGTATATACATTATTTATAGTTATGACTGTGTTTTTGCTTTTTTAATTTACTTATCTTTAAGTTATTTTATTTTTTATTTTATAAACTTTTTGATTATTATTTAGTTGTTATTTTGCTTTTGTTTATTTTATGTTTTCGTTACATATGGAGTGGATGTGGTCATATCTCACTATAACTATTGTCCGTGTGACAGATTGTTCTACTTCTGAATAAATAAATAAAAAAAAAACAATAACAATACAATAAATAACTTTGAATTCATTTACCAAATACGGTTGTAGCACAATAGGTTGATAAAATAAAATATAAAACAGAAAATTACAATAGTTTTTTAACAAAAAAAAATAAAAACTATGGTCCATGTAGGAAAGAAATGTTTTATATATTCATTGTTTATTCGAATGAACCAACAAAAATTTCAGCAAATTTTAAAAGACGATATTATTTACAATTTAGACAAATAGTACATTAGAGAAAACATGAATGAAGTTCCTCTCGTTACCCTTAAGATTAATTAAATAGACATATCGCTATTTCGGCTAATGATGGTTCTCTCCTAACGATGTCATTAGGTTAGCAACATATTTCATTTCAGCGAAACCGAACTGCAAATACCATTCATCGGTAATCACACTAGAGGTCGTCTCTTGTCCAAATAATTTCAAATTACTTAAGAGTTCCGTTAGTAAATAAAAATGTCTGTTTATACATCCTATACGTATTTCAGTACTTTAAAAAAAAAAAATTATTAAAATTTATTAAAAAATATAAAAATTATAACATCCTGTATTAAAAGTTCAATTCCAAATCCAGAATTTTCGAACCAGTTCATATACTAAAATAATAGTTATGAAAGAAAGAGAACGAACATAAGCCTTCAAATCAATAACGTTCCCTACACCACATGTTTTTCTCAATTAAGCAGAGATCCCGGGTCCGAACAGGTTTTTAAAATTTTTTTTTACCGATGATATAGTATAAAAGTTGGTTGTTGTTGTTTTGGGCTTAGGGGCAAAAAACTGCTGACGGTTATCATTGACCTCAAATTGTAATGATTGATTTATTTTTCAATCTTAAAACTTGATGACCTGGGGCCCACACATCAAAATGAAAAGAAAGAGTTTGAACAAGCGACTGAAAATACTGTACTCACTGTTTTCTAAATCAAAATTGAAAATTAGACAAAAACTA